TGTTTTGTTAACCCAGCTTATATCACTAACTGAGGTCACAGCTGTATCTGACTTGCCTTTGTAGCCTCAGATTGGGAGCACCTGGCTCAGTGCCTTGAACACAGTATTCAGTAAATGTTGGTTAAACTGAATTAGAAAGGAGTGTTAACTTGAATTACAACTAGATTTGCCACCAGATGCAAAGCAAATGTTTTTACCAATGGCTCATTACATCAGACACCTCTTTGAGAAGTTTCTCCAGTTTTTCTGTGTGTGTGTGTACCTAATGGGGATGTGGTAAGCCTGAACTCCTCAAGTAAAGTATCCGACATATGCTAGGTACTCAGGAAATAGTTGTTTCCTTCATTTTAATTCCACGTGAAGGGAACAATGTGAACAGCAAGCAGAGAAGTATGAATTCAGTATAAAATGCGGACTTATTTGAACCAGAGCAGGCAGGGGTGGTGAGTTTTTAAAAATGTATGATAAAGAGTTAGGGCACTGAAACCAAACTGATTTTCTGCTCCAGCTTCTTCAGCATCTTTACTTACTAACTGAATAAAACTTGGGCAAATTACTTAACCTCTATGTGTCCCAGGTTTCTCAGCTATAAAAAGGAGAGTAATAACAGGATCCTCACAGAAAGTAGTTGTGAGAATTAATTGAGAAAATCCATGTAGAACACATAGTACAGTTCATGGCATACACAAAGCATTCAAATTATAGTTGCCGCTATCACCATTATCATCATCATAAAAATCTCTATTCTTAGGAATCTGTTCAAAAGAGAAGACATTACTTTCCACAGACCTGTAAAATCTTATAGTTGTAACTGTGTCACACTCAGAGGTTTATTTCTGTTATTAAATTATGGATGGTAGCACTGACATGTGCACTTCATTCAAGCAATACTTATTGTCTCTTTTGTGCCAGACTTTGGTAAACAAACATACTCAATTCAAAGTGAAAGAAACTAGGAGAGCCACGAAAAGGTTAAGAATGCAAGCCGCAAATAGAAAGAGGAGATAAATAAAGCCCAAAGGTCAATCAGAGGTCAAAATACCAAGGTTTACCAATAATCAGAAGAGAAAAATAAGCCAGAACGGCTCCTACATAAAATCCAAAACTGAACAGAACAATGAATTAAAATGCTGGCCACTATAAGATAATTTGCTGGAGTTCAAAGGCTTATTAAAGAAGAGGAGAAAGACAACAGGAGAAGAGTAAGGACTTCAGTTATTATATATTACATATCTGTTTTCATTTACTTATCTTTCCATTTGAAAACTAAAAGTAATGAACAGTAACTACATGTTTTAAAAATCTTAACTACTCTGGTTCTCACAATAATACTCAGGACCAATTGACTATACATCCAATGCCTATGACCACCCTCCTACACACCTTTCTTCAAAGCACAATTTGTTCTATTTAAAAGTAACTTCATGGAGAATTCAGGTCCATCTTATAAGATGACCATGAACAAAGGATGATAGAGAATGCCAGAGGCTCCAGGCAGCCAGGGCACACAGTGGATACGATCAACTGCAATGCCAAGCAAGATAGCTAAAATTGCTCCTCACTCAGCATAAAGGTCCCAAAGGATATTAAAAGCTTGGCATCCTTCAAAAGCTTCTCTTGCTTCCTGCATAGGGTGGGAGAAACGGCTTGCTTAGCAGGAAAAACCATAGCCCAGGGCCAATCCGCTGGCTAGGTTCATCAAAGAGATGGCTGGAACAGAACAGATTTTTTATTTTTGTATAGGAATGACTCATGAGCTTGTTTATTCAAAAAATTACATCTCCACTGAGAGAGGTGGATGATAGGGGAGTTGGATAATAATGATAGTTCAAGTTCGTATTGGTCAGCCCACTCACTCTTGTCCCTCGTCTCTCTATGCAGTTACACAGGCATTCCGCCATTGCCCAGAAGATAGTATGTTTTAATCATCATGCTGCCCTCATTTTTCATCATTAATAAAGCAAACAACACAAACTACTCTCTTTTGTTTACTCTTAGTCCTTTTAGAGAAAGAATGTACTTGATTAGTTAAGAATATGGGCTTGGAGTAAGAATTCCTGGGTTAAGATTCTGATTCTGCTCAATTGCAAACTGCGTGACCATGGGCAAGTTTTTAACTGTCCTGGGTCTCTGTTTCTGTCAGTAAAAATGGGGATAAAAATATTATTTATATCACAGAGTTATTGTGGGGATTAAATTGGTTAACATATAGAGACTAATTCCCACCATATTGTTAGTTTTCAACAAATGTTTGATATTATCATTATTATTACCTCACAGATGACCAAATGTTCATCTTCCAATACAGATCTTTTTATTCAGTATTACCTTAAGAAGTTCAAGTCAAACCATAAATGTAATTAGGTTTTTTACGGAAAATATATTTGTTCTATGAAAAATATTTTCTTGAGGATAGATTTTCTGGAAATTATAGTAAAATTTCTTGAGGATAGATTTTCTGGAAAATATAGTAAATTCTTAAGAAAAATTTTATAAGTAAGTATGAATACGTGCTTCTGTATATCTGAGGATATACATCTTTCTCCTATAAGTATGTATATAAGGAGAAAGTTCTAGATAGACTTATGCATAGACAGATAATTGATAGATGATAGATGGATAGATGATAGATAGATAGATGGATAGGTAGATAGATAGACAGACTTTTATTTTTCTATTTAATTTACCTGTTCCTTTTTTAACATCTTTGAAAAATCATGTCAACAGAAGAACTTACTTGTCATTTTTTTTCAGTCCTCTATGTAAAAGATATACAAAGGTAAAAAATAAGAAGGCGTTTGCAAATTGCTTCTTTTCATACACTTGGTGTCTTTCAAATACAAGCTGTAAGTCTGTTCTCTGACACATAAGAAAATTTATCCAGTTAGTCAATTATTTTAAGTCCTCTTCGCATTGTAACTACTTATTCCACCTTTAAAGAAGGTAGGCTGAGCTATCTTTTCTGGATTTCCCTGGATTATAAAATTCTTCTATATTAATCCAAAAAAAGAAAGTTTGTAGACATAAGTACCTACTTATTTCTACATTATTTACTGTGTTGTACAATGTATTTAAATGACAAATAATCCCCAATTGGATCAGCCTGGTTTAGTTTGTCTGTGATTATTTAGTTCATGGACTGTTGTACTCACTGGGTAAAATCAGGACGTCATCTCCAGGACCTGGAATGGTATGGTTGTGTCCTCCCCACCCCTCTTCAACACCTGTCCATGCTTCAGGGAGGGACCATTTTAAAGCCGATTCAGGTGCAGAGGTAGAAGCTAGAAAACAAAGGAAAATAGCAAGAGTAACTGAAAATCTGATTTGGTATGATAACTTGAAAATTGTATTATTATTTTAGAATGCTGGTGATATTTTTACCACCCAAAGA